AGAGCAGAAATATCTGAATCTCAACTGTGATCAGAACTAATAACTGACGATGATCGATCGAATAAAATAAGTTTTGAGCCTAGAAAAAAGAGAGAATTGATCCCGGTTGCTTTAATTAACAAAAAAAAGATGGAAATGAGCCCGGTTCAAAAAAATAAAAAGTTTATCTTCATAATAGAGAGAAATGAGCCCTGTAATTTAGTTTTGTTAAAAAAATAATCAATTTAAGAGCAGTCTTTTAAAATCAATCTTAGAAAGGTCTAAAAAAACCAGGGTCTTCAAATAATAATTTTTTTCTGGATACTTACGCAAGTAAATTTTTTCTGAACACGTAGATTTGTAGAACAGACTTTTCTGATCAAAATAAGACGTTGCACAACTCTGTGTGATCTTACGTTCAAAAATTGCGAAAATCGATAAAATGTTCAAAAAAGTTTTTAAATACGATTTTCGGATTTTCCTTCCAAACTTACCTATAAATCCAAGACGCATATAAATCTAGGCTATGAAAACTCTTCATCGTTGATAAAAAAGTTTTTAAAAAAGTACTAACAAGTTTTCTTTATGAACACATCAGGATAGTTTCGTCCACTAAATATGGTTATATCATCGAAAAAGCTGAGAAATCATGTTTTGGTTTAAACATCTTCTAGAAACTTTGCGAAAAACCATAGGGTTTTGTAAATTCATTTTTGTGAATTTCTTATAAAAAATATGAAATAGTCTAAGTACTGCACATCCTAATGTCTCAAACTCGTTCCTCGGTTTTCTGAGTGAATGGTGAACTTTTTAATATTATGTGAAACGAGCCTGAAAATCCCCCTAATTTTCATAAAACTTGGTTTGTACTAGTTTTTAAAATCTTTTTCTAAAAACAAACATTGTTTGCTTATGAAATTATGCCTCCAAGTCTTCTCTTTCGAATGACGAAAATTCGAGCTCTCTAGCTGCTCTCTATCAAAGGTTATTGAAAAAATAGCAGAGTCCATTCTTTTTTTGGATAATACAATTATTTACTACTTATTTTCTACGCCTGACTACCTATTCGTAAACGACTTTCTTAATGTGCTTTGGCCTATTGATGATGAAACACCTATTCCATCACACGACGATCGAAGTTTTTGTTATAATAATTGTTTTACTGGAAAAATTAGCTTCTTTTTTTTGTTCTAATGGCACTTTGTTTAATTTTTCGACAACGAAAAATTTATTTCAGATCTGAATATTATCATGTTTTGTTGGATTTTTTGTGCTCATTCGAATGATGTATAGTTTAAGAAAATCAAATGTATGATAATATCACTGCAATTAAAAGAACAAGAAATACAGAATTCTTCAATTTTTGAAGAAAACTGATACTTATTTAAAAAAAAATTTTTTTCAACAATGAAGAGTTTTCAAAGGCTAGAAATTGGATTTATAGGTAACTTTGTAACCATATAATTTCCATATTTAACTTCTAATTTGTATTCTTGATTTTCATCTGACACTTTAACAATGTCTTCTAAACAATCAATTTCTTTTTTGTCATCTTGGTCTTATCGAACACAGACATATAGAATATTCCCTTGTGATGATAATCAATCATCATCGACCATCATTTGAATAAAAATAAATATTTTAACACAAAAATTATTATCTATTAAAATTTCCTATTAAAACATCTGAAAATTTACTCTATTTATGTTTCGTAATACTAATTTTTCTTTCTACCAAGAGTATAATTTCCATATTTATCTTCTAATTTGTATTCTTGATTTCCATCTGACATTTTAACAATGGCTTCTACACAATCAATTTCTTTTTTATCATCTTGGTCTTATCTAACACAGACATATAGAATATTCCATTGTGATGATAATCGATCATCATCTGAACGAAAAGAAACACGTTGTACACGTTCAATTACGGATAATTTTAACCAGATATTATACATGTTATACGACGGAATATTTCTGATAACAAGTGGCATCCATTCACTTTCTGTACCATATTCACATTTTAATCGCAGTATAAATTCGTATTTGTTCCATTTTGCATCTGTTCACCAAACGATAATATACAAATCAAAATAAGTTGTTGTATTACTACCAGTTTGTTCTTCAGATAATAAATCGACAATGTTATTTTTAACACATAAACAAGTAATAGTTAAGTAAGAAATCAAAAACAGTACTGTAAGAGAAATGAGGTGACATGTTTGATTCTTTTTGTTAGAGTAAGAATCATTTTTATGTATGAATATTTGTGGATTATATACATGAATGACATTATTCTACGTGGTAGAATTTTATTATTTTTGTATACAACTCGAAAAATGAGCATTTTTATGAAAAGTTTAGAAACTTGAAAACTATTTTTCACTTTATTTTTCACTTAAATTCCTTCCATCTATGACAAACACTACAGAAATTTGAAAATTCAAGTTTTATGATGTTTACTCTGACAAGAAAGCCATAGCCGATTAGCGCAAAAAGTTCTGCGTAAGAGCGTTACGAATACAGATGTTCGGTTCTCGTTAAGAACCGCGGTTCTCTTGTTTTCGGTTCTTCGTCGGGAACCGGAACCGCGGTTTTGTCGGCGGCTCCTTTTTTTGGAACAGAGACCTTTTTAACCATAGATACTACAGTTTTATTTCGAGAAAGCTATATTTAGCGTTCATAAGGTATAATTGTGCGCAACTTCTTTTACATGAGATCTTCTATACCTGGCAAACCCATCGACTCTTTTTAGATAAGAGATAAAGCCAATATTATTATGTCGTTACACTGGCCAATGGTCAACGATGGCCAGTGGCCATAACGGCACGAAAAAAGTTATCCTTTCTCTAGATTTCGTTTCGTTTTTAAGATACTGCATTTTTCGTACATCTATCGGATTTCGTCTAAAATGACTCCCTAAAAAGTCCTGCAAAGATCTTGGAAATATTTGTGTTAAATTCTACTATAGAAAAAAATTATCCTTATATCCATAATCTTTTTATCTTACCTTTCTTTTAACAAAATGAAAACACACTGTTGACCAAGCTGCAAAAGATATATTTGCCTGCCATTATTTAAAAGAATCTTTTCGTTTACTATAAAATGAATTTTATTTGGCTGAATTGTTACTGCCTGAAAAATTCTTCTCCGATTCTAAGCTGAGAACCGAGAACCGTGGCTCTGTTCTAAGTTGGGAACCGGAACCGCGACTCTTTTCGTTTCGGTTCTAAGTCAACCGAGAATCGAACATTCCTAGTTACGAAAGTAAAATGATTATTCTGGGCTTGTAGAACTGAGTTGAAAATAATTATTTTTACGATCGGATAGCCCGTTAATTAAGCTACAAAAGATTTTATTATTCGTTTTGAGAAAATTTATGAAAAATCCCGAACCGCCTGAAAAAAAAGGTCTTTTTTCGTAACAACGTTATGCTCTTTGTTTTGTTCATAGAAACTAAGTTTCAAAACCGAATTTGTTCTTTTTATCATTAATTGGGAAGAGATCGAGACACAAAATGACATCAGAACGAACTTTCTGTCACATATCGTTGCTGAAAAAATCAAGAAATAGTGTGGAAAAACGTAACAGCGTTGGACCAGTCGCATAGCTATACAGAACGAACGGAATACTGTCGGAATAGTACCGAAATAGAGGAAGAGCGGAATAGAGACTGACCGACTGGAATATATTGAAACGCTCCCTTAGGGAGGGAGCATGTTGAACATTTATTCTATAAGCCACAGAGCAGTGTATTGATTATATTAATCTTTATCTTCTGTTCTAGGTTTTCGTCATCCCGTTCAAAATACTGTTGTACGCACAAACCGTATTTTGAATACATTATTAGGAATTGTTGCCAAATGTGATCAACGTGATAAATTTCAAGTAACACCCACATCTGTACCCTATTTAGCTGCATTAATCAGTGTCTCAGAAGAAGTTCGTACACGATGTCATTTAAAACATCGGAGCTTATTACCTCCATCTCAAAGTACGACGTCAATTGCCGATTTTGTCAATGTTCAAGCAGCGTTCACTGGCGGACATCAACAGGGTCAATCGGTGATAGCAACGACAACGAGTGGTCCACGTCGTCAAAAAAGTTGGGAAATGAATATTGATCAACGTGGAATTGGTCAACAACAACGAGCAAAAAATACCCGTTTATTGTTCATACAGAATCCGTATGTGAGACATTGGAATAGTTTTGATCTTGAACATGCTGGTAAGACTAATTATTTTAAAAAAAACAGTAATTTAGATTTTTAAATGGTGGATGATCTCCTTTTTAGTTCCTCGTATATTATTAAAACCAACTGTTCAAATGTTGCCCATATTACAACAACCAAAACGTTTGGTTCAAGGAAATATTCCAACAATCTCAGTGATTCCAAGTGGACAACAAACTCTGGATCCAACACCTCAAGGCCGCGAGCGATCAGAAAGAAATTCCATCAATGAGAATAATGTTCTGTTAGATCCTGAAGTGCTCACCGATACATCTACGCAAGCACTCCTCTTAACCATGTTGGTACGTTGTCATATATTAATCTTGCTCAATTGATTCTTCAATGTTAAAAACTTGTTTTAGGCTACTCTAGTTCGTAATACATCTGATGAAAATGAAATGCGTATATTGTATGAATATTTGTCGGAAGCATCTGTTGTATTTCCTCGTGTATTTCCTGTTATCAATAATTTACTTGATTCCAAAATTAATTCAGTTCTTTCACTCTCACATGATGAATCAATTTTAAATTCTGTGCAGTCGATTATACAAAATCAAATTGCAACATGTGGAGACGATTCATCAACTCAACAACAACAACTCTCTTATTTACAATCATGTGGTTTTGGTGGATTATGGCGTTTTGCTGGTCCGTTCACAGTATCAAGACAAAATCCAGACAATGTTGAATTATTTGTCAATTGTCTTGAAGCCATGGTTGAAACATGTTTACCTGCTGATGAGTTAGAATTAACTTCTCAACTCAATTCACATTCATCACAAACATTTCCTATTACCGGTGGTCTACATTCAACAATTAATGTTAACTTGTCGAGTTCATTATCAAGTGTTAGCATGGGTAAGTAAATATTAGCAATTTTATACATACTCTTCATAAATAAATTTCTTGTATGAAAGATGTTTGTCTAATGATGCCTACCTAAGCTGTACCTAAGCTTCTAAGTTGACAATGACTGTGATAATTTGTTTTTATTTAGATTCTGTTCGTTCTCCTACTGACAAGGATCAATTTTTTGATTTGAACGATTTAAATCGTCCACAACAATTTGGCCGCGCTCGACCTACAATTACACAAAAGCCAAATCTTGTTTAGAAGTTTAACGATTATCGATATTCCTTGACACACTCGTTATATTTCTGTTTTATTTTTTGTCGAATATTCTAGTCATTGTTTATCATATAGAGTTGCCTTACCTTTGTTTATATGCTGCTTTTTTTGTCTAAACATTATTTATTTTTGTCGTCTTTTATTCTCATTTTATCTAGTCGAGCAGTTTGGGAAGAGTGAAGAGGATCATACTGCATTTAGATCTAAAGTTACCGAGAAATTCTGTGTATTTATTATTGGTTAAAAATTTTCATTGCACATATTTTCTAGTAAGTTTAATAAGTCAATATCTAAGGATGAAATCTTGATATCAGGATAAAGTGATAAAATTACTTTAGTATGAATATGAACAGTATTGTTTAATAAGAATGAAGGCTGTGGTATACTAAATGTTAGTTGTTTGCTTTAATTTTTCTGCATAGATGATGATAAAGACTTATTTTTCTCAATGTATATTCTCCAAAGAATTTATTTTAATGAATGTTGTGACACAGTCATGAATATTTTATTTTTGTTGTAATATTTCAGTCGTCGTTTTACAAAATAAATACCGTTGTGAAAGCAAACACAAAGAATAAACGTAAAACAACTACAAACACAAGAATCTTATCTGTGATTTCTTGATTTTTATTGATGTCTTCTCTTTTATAGTTGAAACAAACATGTCATTTGATCTGTCCGTTGATATAAGCTTTATTCTGTCAGAATACAAGCGGAAAATATTCCATTATAGTATTCTAAACTAAAACTATCGAAAAACACAAAATCAATTTTGTACGAATAGAGATTCGAACATGTGAACTTAGCTTTGTAGTAAACTACTACAAAACTAATTTCACCGTTCTGTATCTATATTCTGTACAACGATTGAAGTTGTACAATCGACTCGATGTTATCAGTAGTAATTTTTTTGGTATGTTTTTTGTGTTCTGTTTTGATATAAGCTTTATTCTGTCAGAATACAAGCGGAAAATATTCCATTATAGTATTCTAATATTCCATTATAGTATTCTAATATTCCATTATAGTATTCTAGATCTGTCCGTTCTTCATCTGATTTCGTTTAAGGTGTCGTTAATTCAAAACTGCAGTAAAATTTCTTTTGGCTTTGTCATACATGGTTAGATAGAGCTTGTCGATCTGATCAAGAATATGTGTTTTACCTTTTTAAGCGAGAAAAATTCAAAATACTCAGATAGGCCAAAATAGTTAAAAACCGCTTCATTTGAATAAAGTAAAGGAATTTTTACTTTTTTACAATTTTGAGGTCTGCCTGAGAACTTGTAATTTTTCGGTGAAAATCTCTGGTTGTGGAGAGATTCGAAAAAGGCAAAGTCATCGAATAGAACCGTGAGCAACCTCATTCGACTCAGTTTGTGATGTTGATTCTGAATATCACATTAGTCTTGTAAAAAAATTCAAATTTGATGGTGAAAATGTCAAAATACGAGTGTATGTCGGTATTTTTCGTCATTGATTAAGAAAAAAACGAGTTTTCTCGGCAACGAAACAAAACCTTAAGAAACGTGAGTTATATTTTTAAAGCTGAGGTTTCGACGTTTACAACTGTATGTAAAGAAAGATTTAATCTATCGATAGAAAAAACTAGATAGGTGTACAAAATGTCCAAGGGTTATATCAAATCGTTCCGTCATTCTTTTTCGTTCTATCCAATATGTGAGAATTCATCAGTTTTTGCTTTTATTCTCTTTCGTCTACCATGCATATAACGGAAGAATAAACAATTTTTTCTTCCGTTTTCATATTCATGCGAAAATGGCGAAAGTACTATTTATTCCGCAACCTTAGAAAATGAAGACAATCACAAAGAAGAATATGTTTAATATGAGTAACAAACAACCTAGAGAAGTATAATCATGGCTTGCTCTACGTATAGGTCGATATAAACTGCATTCTATACTACCATTTACTGCTGTAAAATAGTTCAAAACAAGACTTGTTTTTCTTTTTCATTTGCATTCATCCTTTGGAAGTGCAGGGGACGAAGGATTTGAAGAAGAAGAAGATAATGAGGGTGCTCGAGAGAGCTAGCTGGAAGAAGAAAAAGCAAACTCAATAAATGATGAATAAAACAACAGCGGGGTTGCCAAGTACAAAATCTACAGTTCGGAAAAAATTCTGTTAAAATCGGAAAAAGCCGGGAAGAAATGGTATTGAAAATCGGAAGAAGCATTTTTTCAGAATACCTTAATAAGCTAAAGATATCAGGCTTTTTCTGCTTCTATTCGTTCATCAGAAAAAACATATTCAGTAACAGTTAAAAAAATCTATTATCGATGATGCCATCAGGGTTCTCAAACGTTCCCTATTCGACCATTTTATCCCCCACTAAATAAATCCCCTATCGGGGACATATTTCGTCTCCCGCTGGCGTTTTATTTAAAGCCCTACTATTTCAGCGTCATATTTGAGAGGAAAAAATTGACGGGTTATTATATAGTATGCAATGATTTATGCCCTCTTTAGCATATCTTGTCATAAAGATCATTATCATATAGGTGTTTGGATAGTTTGTGGCAAATAGAGTTATTCTGACATTCGAGCCGT